TAAGTTTTTTCTATTTTCTATTTTTTCCCTTTTTCTCTTAAAACCTATTTAACATATTGTTTTCCCTTTCTTCTCTTCTTTTCCACTCCCTCACCGTCCTCTCTCATTCTTTCTCTCTCCAACTCTCTAAAAAGAAAGAACAAAGGAGACCCATTTCTCATCTTTCCTTTCTTCTCTTCTCGGCCGATCAATTGATCAAAAAGTTTTCAAAAGAAAAGAAAAACGAAATAGAATGAAACAAAGCACATCTTTCTTTGTTCTCTTTCTCTCTCCCTCACGATCCCCGGTTCTCCATGGGAGAGAAAGAAGAACCTAGTTGGATTTCGTCAACAAATCTTTGCGCCTTCATCTGAAATCGATCAAAACCCATCTCTGATCTCCAATGTCGGATTCAAAAAGACCCCAAAGATCCAATTGGAGAAATACCCAGAAGAGATCCCTATCTCTATCGATTTTTTCTCATTCCAATGAATCTGATGGTGAATTTCGTGGCTTTTTTGGGGGGTATCTGAACTAGGTTTCTAGGGTTCTCGTTGCCCTAATGATGAGGAGGCGATAGAGACAATGATGCAGCTTCATTTCTCTCCTAGCATGAAAAGCATCACAATCTCGAGCAGCAATGGGTCAAAATAGAATGAAACAAAGCACATCTTTCTTTGTTCTCTTTCTCTCTCCCTCATGATCCCCGATTCTCCATGGGAGAGAAAGAAGAACCTAGTTCGATTTTGTTAACGAATCTTTGTGCCTTCAGCTGAAATTAATCAAAACCCATCTCTGATCTCTAATGCCAGATTCAAAAAGACCCCAAAGATCCAATTGGAGAAATACCTAGAAGAGATCCCCATCTCTATTGATTTGTTCTCATTCCAATGAATATGATGGTCACAGCTTTTTTTTGGGGGGTATCTGAACTGGGCTTCTAGGGTTCTCATTGCCCTGACGATGAGGAGGCGACAGAGACGATGATGCAGCTTCATTTCTCTCCTAGCATGAAAAGCATCACGATCTCAAGCAGCAATGGGTTTCTTGACTTCATGAATATCAAGGTCGCAACTCACCACATCTCTTATCGGACTCTCTTTCATTCGATTCTCATCCTTGCCCCTATCCTATCATGCTGCAATTTCACAATGGTGGAAGTTGCCTATCCGGCTGCATTTGAGGATGGGTTGAAAGTTTTGAACTGATTAGGGAAGCAAATGGAGAGAGAAATATCGAGATTTGAAGAAAGCAGTAATGGAGAGAGAGATTAGGATTGAATTAAATGGGTTCAATCCCGATGCTGTTAAGGGAAGGGCAAGAAGAGAGATTGGGGGAGAGAGAGGAAAGAGAGGGAGAGAGAGAAATGTGAAGGAACGAAAGGGTATCGGAAGGTTGGGGAAGATGAATAGTGTTTTTCTCGTCTAGTTATTATAAGGGTAGTATGGGGATTAAAAACTATTATAATGGTCTTTTTGGACGAAAGGAAGTCTTTGTCTCACAGTCATAGTACAGAGGGGGTCTTTGTCATAGACCCCATAATATAGTCTTTGTAATTTACCCAAAAAAAGTGAGAGATAGAAACATCCAAATTTCCTCCTAAAAGTGATTTAACCTAGACAAAATGGTACAAATAATTGTAATTTAATCAACTCAACCAAACAGGATTTTGGTTTGATAAAGTCAAAACACCTGTATGGTTTTATATGGTGACAAAAAAACTCCGCAATACCACAATACCAAATACCTCCCACGTTTCCAATGTCTAACATCTCTTGGTTTCTCTTGATTTAGTTTAGCCTAGCCAAAAGCACATTTGGGTCTAACATGAATCTCTGGTCCTCTCATCTCCATGCCGTGTTTGGCTGCTAATATTATAATTTCACTGGAATTAGGATGATTTCATAGTTATATTTGTAACATTTTTTTTGAATTGGGTAAAATACAAAAACCTCCCTTGAAGTTTTTGACAATCATAAAATCCTCCCCTATAGTTTCATTTTAGTAAAAACTTCCCCTCTATTTTTTATAAAATTAACAAATACCTCCCTTTCGTCAATGACCAAGACAGAAAGCGTTAAAGAAATGTTTATTTTTTTCAAAATACCTATTTTACCCTTTCTCGAATACTATTCGTCTTCTTTCCATTCGAACCCAGAGAGCTAGTGGTGGAAATGATAAAAGATAAAAGGTACATCAAGAAAAAGCGGACACTAAATATCGGCAATGATATATCGATTTTGGGGATTGTAACGCTTGGAATTCTCTTTCTCTCGGTTATCTTCCATGGGTAACAGTTGCGGGAAGCTTGGCACCTCTTGCTTCCTCGACGCCGGTGGAGTTCACCGCCGTCATGACATAGCTGTCGTTATATCTGAGCCTCCCAATGAAGGTCTTGGCCACTTCTTCTGCTATGTTCGCCTCGATCCCTCTCATCTCTCCTCCTCCAAGGTTTACTCGGAGGAGACAACCACCTTTCGATCCATCTCCGGCACTTCTGTAAGTGCTAACACGTCTACCCCTCTCTCTACAGCTTTTGTTGACCTCTATTCCTATAACAGTCTTGATCGAGCTGCCGCTTTTGAAAGCTCTACCTCCTTTATTTCCATTCCCCTGCAACTTGATCCTCACTATCTCATGAATTCAGGTCCATTATCCGGAAATTTCGGGGGAGTTATGGGTTCTAGTCCCCTCGACAGGGGATTTTTATCTGGTCCGATCGAGAGAGGCTTCATGTCTGGACCTCTTGAGCATGGCTTGTTTTAAGGTCCTTTGATTAAAGGGTCTGATCAGTTCCAGAGGAGTTTCTCTCATGGGAGTTATGCGTTTAGACCAAGATCCAAAATGGGTCTCTAATTCAGGTTCTCCGGCAGGCCATTGCAAAGACCATCAATCACGATCATAACTTTGTAGTTGCCTCGATCAAAGGGGTCGTTTCCGTCAAAGAATCCGATTTAGGTTCTCCGACAGGCCATCGCAAAGACCATCAATCACGGTTAGAACTCCGTAGTTGCCCCGGTCAAAGGGTTCGTCTCGGTCAAAGAATCTAATTGGGTTGTTGCATCGGAGAAGAACGGGGAGAACCTCACCGTCAGCAGCACTAATTTGAGTAGCGAAGGGAGCTTGGATGACGACTATTCTTTCGAAAGTCAGAATCTTCAATCGGGCTCAAGGGAAAGCCGGGGAAGATCAAGTCCATGTTGAGAGCTGCTTTCTTCTCTCTCCTCTTCTCAACCCAAGGAAAATATAATAGAGCGAAGAAAAGATTTTTGGAAAGGCCATTGGCTTCAAATGAGGACCGTGGAATGAATCGCGTAACTAGAAGGTTGAATTGACATATCTATATGTTGGTATAGAAATATTTAGAAGGGTGAATTGCCTCTGTTTCTGGGTTTGAATGGGGAAGAAGATGAACAGTGTTCGAGAAAGGGTAAAATAGGTATTTTGATAAAAATGATCATCTCTTTAACGTTTTCCGTCTTGGTCGTTGACGAAGGGAGGTACTTGTTAATTTTATTGAAAATAGAGGGGAGGTTTTTGCTAAAATGAAACTATAAGAGAGATTTTTATGATTGTTAGAAAATTCAGAGGAAGTTTTTGTATTTTACCCTTTTGAAATAAACCAAACTTCAATTTCAAAATTTGAATACACCCCGATATATACTAATGGGGTGTATTGTGGCTTTGACCCTTGCACCTTCGGCTTTTTTTTTCTTTTTTTACTTTTTTTCTTTTCAAAATTTGATGATTGGGCATGTTGTTATATGTTTTAATGATTAAAAACAATTTCTCAAAAACACCTTTAAATGGGTATATTAATAGTATTGAAAGATACAATAAGATATGATATGCCCTATATGCCCTATATCAAGTGTATCATCTTAATATTTCAAACCTTGCTTCAGAATAAACTTAAAAAAAGGAACTATCATATTATGTGCCATAGTAGCCGCTAACACATCGGCAGCATCTTTTGAATTTGTAATTTTATATAAATAAGAATTCATTGCTTGTTTGAGGTAGTAAATGATGAGAAGATTTTTGGTGTGGCCACACGCAGCGACCTCGAATGGATGCTCTCCCAGGGCCGGATCACATCTTGATCGTCCGCGTCTGTCTACCTCTAGGTGGTCTCAAGTATAAATAGAGGTTACCCCCCCTCAAGGTAAAGAATAAAAAAACCTAGGCTGGAAACCTGCTACTCCAAGCTCTCTAGCTCCTAGGCAACCTCGTCTGAGCTACTCTACTCAAGCCTCTTCCACCCTCTTTGCTACGCCCTCACTAACTTGACTGTTAGAGTCCCCGCCTCGGGCTAGCGCCCGGGGCCTCTGACGTCTCCTTTTTCGCAAGTCCTCGACCTCAACACTCCTCGGATTCCACTGGTCCTTGGCCTTGGCACCCATTGGACCCACTGGTCCTTGGCCTGGGCCCTCCTCAGACCCCATTGGTCCTCGGCCTCGGCAGTCCTCGGACCCCACTGGTCCTCAGCCTTGGCCCTCCTTGGACTCAGCTGACCTCAGCCACAACGGGCTCTTCCATCTACCAACTCATCTGGGAAGCGAAGCTACAGAGTTGTCCTCAGCCCATTCTAAGCATCAACAGAATCTTTGTTAACAAAGGGTTATAAACTGATCCAATGTGATGGAAGTGTGTTGAATGATAACTTTGAATTCATTTGATTCACAGGAATAGGGGTTTGGAATTAGAACCAACCGTTTAATTTGGTAGAATTGAAACCTCATTCCCATTTCTAGTGGAATAGGATTCCCCATCTGAGTGAATGGCCAATCCAGTTTTAATTCTGATTCCCATCTGAATCAAACAGGTGGAGGAATGGAACATTTCAATTCCAATTGCAATTTAAAAAAAAAAAAATCAATTATAAACCGAATGGACTCTTAGGGTCTGTTTGGTTCGAGGGAATAGAAACCTGGAATCGGAATCGGAATGGCCCATTCTCATTCCAAGTGTTTGGTTGACCAGAACGAAAATCCTATTCCCATTCTACGTGGAATGGGAATCCCCCGTATGGGGGGAATGGCCATTCCCATCCCCCTCCTACGGAATGCGATTCCCATTCCGGTTTATGGCTTCATTTTTTGTTTTTTGGACAAGAATACCCCCTTCATTTCCGATCCTAGTCGAACAGAGAGCTGTCGCGCCGAACAGAGACTGCAAACAAATCCAATCCATCTTTCATGCCGAACCGACCTTTGGTGAGGTAAGACCGCTGCTCCTCCTCCTTCCAAATCAACAACCCATGCTCTGATCCAGTTCGGGATCTTCTTCTTTTTCTCTGCCTCCTCTTCCTACTTTTTTTCACTAATTGAAATATGTTTTTTTTTTTTATTTTTTGCAGGTTCACCCTTGCTCTATTCGGGATCGACCTACTTCTTCACTGCTACCATTGACGAGCTTTTCACACCAGTCAATCCAGGTAATAGAAATTTTCTAATTCGTTGATATTCTTTTACATTGTTTTAGAATACCTCTGATATAGATGTGAATAGAAATTTTTTAGCAAAGTTTGTGTATATCCGACGTATTTAACAGCAAGGTTTTAGTGTATTTCACCTGAAATACTTGTTTTGGTTGCCTTCAATGTTCTTCATTCATTTGAATATGATATGAGACACTTGTTTATGTTAATGTTATGCAAATTAATATTGTGAGATGAGACACTTGTGAATACTGAATTTGTGATTTGCAAGTGATATATTAATGGCTCTTTGTTGGGGGTATAGGACTGCATGGTCAGCCTTAGCTAAGCTTAACTTGGCTGAGAATGAACTGAAGGACAAGGGTGCTATTTTGATCGTAAAAGCACTAGAAGAAGGCCATGGCCTATTAAAAGAAGTTGATTTCAGAGGGCTAGGGCGATGTCCTTAGCACAAGCTGTGGTAAATAAGCCTGAGTTTAAGTTGCTGAATACCAATGGGAGTTGCATTTCTGATGAAGGTATTGATGAGGTAAAGGACATATTCAAGAAATCACCTGATGGGCTAGGGCCCTTTGATGAGAATGATGAGGAAGGGGGAGAAAGCGATGAAGAGGAAGAGAAGGGTGATGAAAATGGGGATGAATTGGAACCGAAACTTAAACAACTTGGAGTCAGCAAGGAGGAATAGCAGACTATGATGGATTCTGATATTGGCTTTAACTTGTGGAAGAGGTTTAAAGTATTTTTCTTGTGATATTTGGAATTGATCAGCTCATTGAATCCTACTAATACAGTTATTGATTCTGTAACACAACCACTCGAGTCAGTAATGGGTCATGTTTTTTTTAACTTGTTTTCTCCCCATTTCAAGAACACTAGTTTAATTAATTTTTTATTTTTTATTTCTGATGTTACTTTAGCGAATTAATGGATTTTGTTCTGTTTTTTGCTTAGATGGTTGATATGTTTTGAGATATTCTGGTATGTGTGAGTTGTGCTTGATAAATATTTCCTCATAAATCCAAGTCTTTTGTGGCTTGATGGCCTCCAAATAACAAGGGCAATAGAGTTTCTATTACCAAAAGATTTTTAACACTACTTAAGTAATAACAGTTATATATTTTAAAATTTGGTCTAATTGTAATGTAACTTAATTTTGAATAAAATATTACTAATCTTATACCTGGGGTTATGGTGAATTGTATTTTCTAATAAGTTTAGTTTTTACCACCTCCTCAAATTTGTGAAAATTAATGTTGATCATGTGATGATTTTATGCAATTTGAATTAAATTATAAGTAACTATTTTCATTTTTAATGCTATAGTGTTAAAATCAAGGTTCATTGTATTAGAAAGACAGAATGTTGGATAGGTAAACTTAAGAGATGTATGATACACTTTGGACACCCATGCATACAGTGGAAAAATTAGGATACATATGCACTTTTCTAGTGAAACTCCAATAAATCCTAAGGATTCAATAACACTAAATTCAAGTCTTAGATGATTATAAATGAGGTATATACATATAAAAAACATATTTATGTGAAGTGTGAATATTAGGACACATTTGAAAAATATTAAAAAGTATACAGGAATTAAATACATGCCATGTATATCTTAAATTTTTTTGGACACCAATATTGTTCTAATAGAAAATTAAATATTAAAATTTAAAACAGAAACAATTACCAAAATGAAGGTGTAGTCTTAACTGGTCAGTGGGTTGTTTTGCCATCTATTGATACAGGTTCAAGTAAACTTGTCTTACTACAAATTTCTAAATGCTCTCTCACCCCTAAGATTTTAAATGTGCAAAGCTATTCTCTTCATCTTGCTACTCAGTTTTACAACATTGGAGTTTATAGAAAACAAAAATGGTTAGTTATCAATAGAATTTTATCTTTTAGAGTAAAACTATGGCATCTGAAACCCAAGTAATTGGTCCAACAAACCTCCTCTCAAATGGCTGCTTCCCTTCCCTCCCTCCTGTATGTCCATGTACACTAGAGCATGCAACTTTTGTTCATTAGGCTGCATTTGTTTGTGATGCAAATGCTAGTTCAATACATAAATGCACTCCGGGTCAGTTTTGCAAGTGTTTGGTAGGTATGCATTTGTGTATATATCAATGATGACAGCTATCAGAACTTCCAAGACATGCATTTGTAAATCAGGGTTTGGGGGTATAGGACTGCATGGACAGTATTTGAAAATTCCTGTGTACAGCTCTTTGTCGTACATGTTTTTTTTTTTCTATTCAAAGATTTTATACTTTACCTGTTTCAAAAAAAAAAAGTGCAGGCTCATCTGAGGATCCTATTATTGGATTAGCTCCAAAATAAACGTGAGATTATTTTTTTTGATTGGTGAATTTCAGAATTTTCGGTTAATGTTCTTTTATTGTGTTGAAATCATGCTAAAGTTTGCTTAACCTTTTTGGTCTTTCCCTGGTTCTTCTAGCCCTTTCAACTTGTAACAGATCACTGTGCTGTAAATGGACTCCAAGATATGTATCAGATGCTGATTCCTGTTTCTATAAACATGGAACACTGCCTTCTGACATTAACTGTATCTTTCTGGTATGTTTAATCCACCCCTAAACCTTAATTGGATCCATTTCCAGCCCTACAAACACTTGTTCATCAGTTCACTAGTTTTTATCAGTTGGAATACTGGCCTTGCTTTATGGCCTCAGCCTCAGGTGGATGCATTTCTCTAAGGTTTTAGCAGGTAGATGTGCAGGGTAACTTTCAAAGGTGTTGTTGGTTGGAGTATAGATGGTTTTGATCATTCCTTGATGGATCTTTGGTTTATCTAATTTGATTACCAATAGTCTTTTGAAGAGTGGGGTTGGGACTGAACCATAATGTGGGGGTCTTTACTCTCTAGGTAGCATCATTTTTTTTGTGCTTAAAAAATAGATAAAATTCCACAAATTTCCTTATTTTGTCCAAGGTAGAACTTCCAAGATGATCACTTCCTCCCCTTCTCTAGTATGAGTTCTGTTTGTTAAAGGGACCTATAACTCCTAAAACATCCCCTGCTGAATTCACTCAGGTTGGAGGGGGGGGGGCAAGATCCTTATGTTCTATATGCAATTCCTCTTCCTTTCCTTTCTTAGTTTCTTTATCTTGAAGATCATAGATTACTTCGGCTAAAATTAATTACCTCCTTCCCCTCTCCACTAAAAAATCGGTCAATTAAGTATGAGTTCATTTTTTTCTTGGGGAAGATGAATTTGTATATGAATGTTTAGTGCTTTGAGAGTTGGAGTGAAGTTGAGGTAGTAGAGGGGATGGCTGGATAAAAGTCAAGTGTGGATATAAAGGAATGAAGAACTAGGAGGTAAGGGAGGGATAAGATAGAAGGGGAAGGATCTAATGCAAGACATACACAGTAATTTCCATATATGTGAGATGTCTGATGCAAGCCTTCTTATGAGAGTCATTTTTAAGTGTTCTAAGCATCGCATGTATGGGTCTTTGTTTTGTAGAATCCTGCTTTTGGAGCTAATATAGTTGAGAACAGCAATCTTACTGATGTTCTCAATGGGTGGTTTTCTCTTGGTAACTGTACTCTTAGTGTGGGCACTGGTTCTCCTCATCTACTTCCTCCAATGGCAAGAGATTCCCTCAGGCCCCATGAACCTTTAAGTGGCCGCTACATCCTTGTGAGCAATATACAGACCTGGATGGGCCCTGCTCAGATGATCACAGAGAAACTAAAACTTTACCTGACATACCAAGTATCTGCTTGGGTTTGCATTAGTCCAGGAACAACTAGTCCTCAAAATGTAAATTTTGCACTTAGTGTGGATAACCAGTGGGTCAATGGGGGCCAAGTTGAGGTTAATGATGATAGGTGGCATGAAATGGCAGGTTCTTTTAGAAATGAGGAGCAACCATCCAAAGTTATGGTCTATATCCAAGGATCATCTTTAGGTGTCAACTCAATGGTTGCAGGGCATCAAATTTTCCCTATTGATAAAAACAAGATTTAAGCATTTAAAGAAGCAGACTAACAAGGTATTTTTGTTTGTTTTATGAAAAGCTCAATATATTTTATGTATCATTTCATTTTTTATGCTGTATTCTGTATCTTTGGATTGTACTTTTATATTTTCCAAGGTTTTGGCTTGTAAAATAGCTTATTATGCAAGATTACAGACCTAAGTGTCACAATTGCTGAGATCGTTCAACAAATTTGTTCAGTGATATTTAGTGAGATTACAGACCTATGTGTCTACCAATTTTTTTATGTGAGATTATTGATTTACCTGGACGGCCTAATCTATTTTTAACGTTTGAGCTCTGCGTGAGTTGGGTCTTTTCACCAAAATTCTCTTCTCACATTAATTGTTTAACTATGTTACCCTTTCTGTTCTGCAGATACACAAGCACGATGCCATCCCAAAATTTGCAGGATCTGATGTTAGTAATTTGTTTGGCACATTTGTGAAAGTTAGGCAGACACAAAACAGTTTCCCATTTGGCTCATGTATGAATAGAACAAATATAGACAATGAAGATTTTGTTGATTTCTTTGTTAAGAATTTCACACTTAAAGGTTCTAAAGGGTCAGCTTTTTTGTAGATGGGTTTTGTGAGAAATTGTTGTACATTTTTTCATTTTTATGGTGGAGAGTGATTTTTTTTTGTGTGATTTTTGTTTGTTTGTGTTTTTCTTTTCATTTTTTTTTTCATATTTTCTCCATATATATGCACTTGTTAGCAGGTTGCCAATGTGCATATATGTTGAAAATATATAAAAGGTGGTTGTTCTTTAGGTTCTTTTAACAGGGGCAAAATTGGAATCTTTGGCTGATTCTGATTCCAGCTTCTAGTTGAACCAAACAGCAGGAATTGAACCAAACAGATGTTAGGAATAGGTGATTCCGATTCTGATTCTTAGGGATTCCGATTCCAATTCCAGTCCTGTCCGCGAACCAAATGCACCCTTAGTTTTTTTCGATTATTGTGTGTTCTTGTGGCTGCAGGAGGAAGTGTTGGAAATCCGTTGGAAGCGGAGCTGGGTGGTATATTGAAATCGTTAAGGTTGGTTCTCGAGCAGGACTTGAAGGAGATAATTGTGATTTCGGATTCAATCGTGGCTATAAAAGCTTGCTCAAGAGTGGACCAGAATGTTAACTGGTCAAGAAAAATTGGATGATATTTTGAACTTAACTAAACATTTTTCTTCGGTTATTTTTGTTAATTTATAAAAATATAACTGTTACGATTTCAGTTCATACTGTTATTCAAAGGGCTAATTTTTTGCTGAAGATGCATTTTGATGCTATTCACCACAGATCTAGTAATTGATATATAATATTTTTTTATTGATTAGTGTATTTTTTTCACCTTTCAAAAATAAATAAAGGGTTCATGTAATTTTCAAGGTTTATAAAACCAGACTGGACAGCAAACCGTTCTGGGTCCGGTTTCTAGGTCAAATGGTCCAACTATCCAGTCCGAACTGATGGCCCATTCTGACAAAAAAAAAAAAAAAAAGACGGCCAAAAACCATTCTCGGGTCAAATGGTTTGATGGTTTGACCACCCGGGTCAGCAGTTCATTAATCAAATCAACAGTTTTTAGTCAAATAGCAGTTTTGGAGTAAAACAGAATCAATCAAGTGATAGGTTCCCGGTTTTTTCGGTCCGACTGTCCAATCTGGTCCAGTCCAGTTTTGAAAACATTGGTAATTTGGTTGAACCATTGTTTGAGATTGCATGCTGCTAATGCTCAGTTTGGAAAGAGTATAAATACAAATATAAACAGTATAAAATAATACAAAATACAAGATTTTACGCTTTATATATCTGTATTTATACTCCTTCCAAACTAAACCTAAGGCTCAGTTTGGAAGGAATAAAAATACAAATATATACAGTATAAATAGATACAAAATACAAGGTTTTATGCTCTACATATTTGTATTTGTACTCCTTCCAAATGGAGCCTAATAGCCCACAATTGAATCTATGTGACATGGCCTTTTGTGTCCAAGTGATGTGGTGGGATAGAGACAAGAAATAGGGCATGGGCATCTCAGTGTTGGAAAAATTTTGATTTTATGTAGCAAACCTAAACAAAAGAGTTGAATAGAGTGGTCTACTAGAAGAATCCTGTCAAATATTGTTTACAAGTAGATCAAAAACACCAAGGCCCCATTCGCTTTTCGATAAGTTATTTACCCAGGTAAATGTAGTTATCTGAGTAAGTTTTTCCTGGGAAACACTTATCTGGATAAGTGCATTTACCCATGTTCTTTTATTTCTCATGTAAATAAGGCAATAACCATTTTAGGCTTTTAGCTATAAAAGTCAATTATTAAAAAGGGCATTTTCGTCCCATTCAAGTGTTACCAACTTCCCCCCTAGGTGGGAAAGTTATTTACCCACGTAGGAGATGGGTATCACTTACCCGGATAAATGATAAACAGGGAAATAAACTTTCCCTGGTCCCCACATAAATCTGAAAAAAGAACATTGGATTCTTGATCACTAGGAACCAAAATTGCATTGATTAATTTTCCCCCCTCTCAAAATCTGAAAAAAGAATGCCCCCCAAATGGACTACTGATCTGATCTGATTACACAAAGGGAGTCAAGCCAGGTGGTGGCCTGAAAGGTCAGACAATAACGACTATGGCCAGCTGACAAAAATGTGCAAGCTTCCAACTAGTTAATTATCAATATAATGAAGCTTGTATTCAGACTTGACAGGAAAAGGCTCCCGTCAAAACAACAGTGATAAGCATCCATATAGGTCAGCAGTTCACCCTTCTCATTTTCAACTTCAGTCCTACTACTTGTCCAAAGTCATTTCTGTGAAGCTGGCCTCAAGGAAAATGCAACTGAATTCTTGTAATGGATAACAGGTTGAAAAACCAAAATTTCCTTCAGTGGGTCTGTAATTTGAATATACACACCAGCAAGGCCAAGGAAGATTAAGGGTCCATTTTTGGAATCGGAATCAAAACTCATTGGAATCTTCTCGTTTCAGTCAGCTGGTCTGAACCCAGATGTTCATTGGATTCCTCCATAGTTCTTGTGGCCACAGCCACCAGCCAGTAGCCACCAACTTTGAATCCATCTTCCCCTTTAATATCAATAATCAACTAGGGTTCGGATCCCTACAACTTACATGCACAAAGTCCCCTATGCGGCTTATATGCCTATTCCCTTGTCCCGGAGGATATAGTCTAGGTCCCTCTTCGGTCTGCAAAAGAGGACTCCGAATCCTGTACGGCTCACCTCATAAAAAATCATGGCTGGTATCAAATTATCAAGGGAGAATGACTGTTCAGCCCACAATAGATTTCTTAATTTCACCACAGGTGGGGATGAATACTGACTATGAATTGATGCCAAATGACTGTTCAGCCCACCTTAGATTTATTAGTTCTACCGTATAGATGGGATGAATCCTAACCGTGAATTGATGCCAAATTCATGAACATTATGCAGTTTATAGGGGGGCTATTAATAAACTATAGAGGCTATAATTTTAGAATTATGCAGTAGGCTGCAATGTACTTCTCCCCCAATTATCAATCATATAGGTTACACATTGGTTAAGGGTAATAAGACAACCAACAGAACCGCCAGCACCCATCTGGTACAGAATCAACGGGACATACTGTGACTTGATTGGCCCACTATCACGAGCAGAACTGTCGACGATTCGGGCACAACGGCCCAGAAAAAACCATGCTCAGAGAGTGGTTTGGGCAACCAGACAGCCAGGGGCGAAGGACAAAGGTGGTGTTATATCTTCTGTGGAAATCCATTCGGATCCATTTCTGCTATGGCATAAACAAACATTCCCTGGAGGGAAGCTCAAGAAACAAGAAAAATGGCGCCATGAGACATGAATTGACAGGCCGTTTGGCTTTTGGGTTGTCACGCCAGACATGACTCAGAGCTTTTGACCCACCTTTCACTGGTGGTGCAACGTTAGTACGTCTCATTCCTTTGCTTTTATGATTTATCTCCCCCAACGAACTCCACCTCCAGCATTCTAAGAAATACCACCAACCACCCAGGTACCCATCGAAAGAAAAGGGAGAAAATTAGGGATCTACAGTAGCCAAGCAGAAGGATGAAACTTGCCAGTTTTTATCAGAAAGAAATTTCAGATTAAGTTTTCGCACAGCTTTTTAGAAAGGGAAAAATACTTCTTCGGGGAAATAGTAATTGCAATTCTATCATTTACTTGGCTATCCAGTCTCCCCTATCAATCTCAGGGCAAGATTTGGCTCCTACCTGGATGGAGGACATGCATTTTATTTGTTTGGGGGTTTGGAGTTTAAGATTTAGGGTTTAAATGTGAATCAATAGCTTTCATCCGACCATGGTGGGAACACAGTAGGAATGCCCATGCCTTTATTTTCTTAGCTATTTTTATTTCATGAAGGCTGTTTTTGATTTGACAGAAAGTTGAGGGAAGGCTGTTAAGAACTTTCCCTCAACGTTCAGTTTCCCTAAAGAACTAATATCACCCAGTCAAATGGAGAAGCATCTCCACCCCTAAAATATTTCAAAAGGCCTCTCCAAAATGGGCCTTTAGTTGGTTCAGAACATGGTCCTGAAAATTCAGTATGCTTACAGCCTGCCTTGTAGACAGCCATATCAGGGATGATGATGGACACAATCACATTTGCAATACTCTATTTGGTTGTTCATTAAGTCCTTTAGAAGGGTCCAGATATCACGGAGTTGTCAAAATTTCCTCAACTTAACCAATTAGATCGACATAAAAACAGCTTTCAAAAAGTCCACCAACATACAATCATTATCTAAACCTAGATCCTTCATGAGCCAGCATGCTATTGTTTCCGACCCCTTCCTTTCTTTGTTGGCTGTGCTTCTGACTGCTCTTTTCCTGATACTTCTGATATATCCACTGCAGAGGCATTTGATTTTAGAAAGGTTCAATGTCATGAAATAATAAAATTCCACTAAAATCAGAATTTGAAATATCTAAGCGACATAGAGAATGCTGATATAGAGTAGGTTAACAGAAGCAAATGGAAGAACATTGTAAGCCAAGAACTGCTCAGTTGCTTATAAATATAGGTATAAATTACAATTATCTAACAATAAATATGATGGGAGAGAGAAATACCATCAGGACCCCGGGCCATTAGGGTAAAGAATATATTGTTGAGTTTCTCCATCTTCCTAGCATCCTGTGCCTGATCTGTCTTAAACTTGAGACACTGAAAGTACGTAGAACACTCAATAAGCAATCCGAAAATATATCACATCTAGCAAAAAACAAAACATCTTACAGCTATGATGGTTTAGTCTCAATTGTAGTCATCTACAGCTATAGTGGAAAATATCATGGTTAGAGTGGTTGATTGGCTAAAAATACTAGATTGCATTACTCCTTTCACTTTGGATGACATTGTAAAAGGGTGACACTGGGTGGCAAAATCATCTACATCTAGATCTATACCCTCAATGGAGTGGAGGCTACCAAGCAACAATTAAATTCCAATAGATGCAGCATGGGAAATTTAGGTTTGGTTGGAATTGGAGTGTTTAGAAATGGTTGTGAAGAAATAATAACCATGTTTTCTGGACCACCAGGAGTTCGGAACTCAGTAAGGGCTGAACTATTGGATGTCCTTCAAGTCAAGGCCTAAGGCTGAATAGGGATTGGTTTTAGCAATATAGAGGTGGAAGGTGGTTCCAAGATGGGTGGGTTGGCAAAATAGTACTAGCCAAGCTCCTTGGCAATATAAGCACTAATGAGGGAAGCTGAAGCTGATGGGAGAGGTGGGGACTAGCTTCAAGTTGGCTATATAGATCAGCAAACAGCTTGAACAAGTTTAGGGGGTTCAATGTAATAAGGGATGAAACTGTATTGGGTTAGGCAGCAGATGCTAGAATAACACTAACATGGTTTCCTAATTGTAAGCTTGTAAATTGAATCCTCCCTAATTGTAAGCTTGTACACTATTTTTTGCTTAAATCAATGAAGTTGCATGTTTACACATTAAAATGAAAAATTGCGGTCATCAAAGCCAGAACAGATTTCCTAATAACATAATGCGCAACCACACTCCAGACTAGTATACTAAATCCTCCCTAATGCGATGCTAATCATGCTATTCAAAAATAAAAAAGATATCAATCTTTATTAAATGATAGAAAAATGAATTATCTACAAGATATCTTGCATCCCCAACTATAGGCTAGAAATATTTGTGAATGAAATTCTTTTGCTTGCTAATAGAAAATTGGTTTCTATTCTTAAAACTGTATGTATCTACAGTCATAATTCCTTGCATTTTGGTCGGCCATAACTCCCTCAAATGCTGACATCTTTGCAGCCCATTCCTGTGATGAACCAATTAGATTAAACAACAGAAATCAATTATTATGAAGACCTAAACCATATCCTTTAAAATTAAGACCAAATTCATGGGCTTGGACACATGATGACATGGGATAAGAAGAAAGTAGTATTCATGACACAAAAAGGCAAATTATCATGTTAATAACAGGCATGTTTTCTGACTTTGGGGCATCTAATTCCTAACCTGTGTATGATGCTATTGGAAAGACAGCAATATATGGCTAGAAATATCATGTATATTGTCATGATTCCATGTATTTTGGGTAGTAGCAAATCCATCAAATGCTGACCTCTTTGCAGTCCATAACTATGCTGCAACAATCAGCTTGAACACAAGAATCAATTATTACAGGGACCTAAATTATAACCTTACAAATTGAGAGCAAGGTCATGGAGTTGGACACTTGATGATGTGGGACAAGAAGATATTGGCATTTGTATCATGAAAAGCTGATATCATGTTAATAATGAGCTTATATTTATAGTTAATAGAAAATTAATTCATAATCTACTTGAAGCTGAAGTGGAGGACCATCTCAAGTCTAGCACTCATCTAGCAGATAGCGAAATTAAACTTCTCCTTTCAGCTATATTTTAGCATAATTGAAAAGGCTGTTCAATTACTACCCAACAAGCTCAATTTGTAGTGATTTGGACATAAATTTAGCAACTTACTGCTGACATGAAAACCGATCACAAGTGTTTGTGATCGGTTGATTTTTGGCAAGTATTAGCTCTAAACCAATTTTCCTTTTAATAATTTGTGTCAAACTTGCAATTGATTAAAAACTTATTTTTAGAAAGTTTTCTGGGAGTTCTACTTATTTTTGAAGTCATTCCATCTAGGAATGACATGATGGTTATGAGTCTTCTAATTATGTATGTATGTATAATATATATTCATAATACTATTGTAAGAGAAGGATTATGGGATTTACAATAAATTTTGGCCTTCAGCTTCTTTTTTTTTTTTTTTGATCAATAACTGTGAATTGAATTGAATTAAAAATATGAGAAATTACAAAGAAAAGAGGCTAAACCATCTTAGCTCCCGAGTACAACCATTGAACACCAAAAGACAATTACAAAACAGCCCAAAATATAGAGTTTCTGTTCACCCTTGCCTAGCTAGACCATCTGCCGGTGAGTTTCCGCTTCTCTTTACCCATTTGTACTGAATTTCAGTGTCCTTAGTCAGCCACTTAAATTTTCTCTTTTCATTGCTGTAATTCCATATCCTAGAGTTATCCTCTTTTAACCAGTTCACCACAACTTAGAGTCTCATTCTATGATCAGCTTATTAAAATGCATATCCTTGACTCTTTGTACCCCTTCAAGAGCTGCAAGTATCTCAGCCCTCAAGGAATCTCCCGCCCCTATTGGTCCAGAGACCATAGCTAACAGATTCCCTTGTTCATCTCTTATTGCTCCCCCTATTCCGGATGGCCCTGGATTACCCATACTGCTGCCATCAAAATTCAGTTTAATAAAGCCATGAGGTGGAGGAATCCAACAAGAGTTTGATGCCTTCTTAGCTGGAGTTAATTCTGCAATCTCACTTCCAGTTTCTTAGCATCTCATCGACTGAGAACAATGCCAAAGTTTTCAACCAAGTATCACCCTAATATGGATGATCTCCAATATTACTTCCAAGCTTCTCTCTTTTTCTGAGAAGATCCATGAGTTTCTCTCCTCCCAAACAGTCCAGCAAATTGCAGCCCTCATACATCTCCACATAATCTTGGCCCTTTTTGTTGTTGGCCAATTCAGCATGAAAATGAATAAGCTTTGCACATTTAGGGGGGGGATCCACCTGCACCCAAGCAAAGAAGTACACCATTAAACCGACAAGAAATTAGTAAATGGTATGCAAACTCTCCATCAGCTTTACAGAGAGCACACCAGTGAGGACACAAACAACTATTGGGTCTTTTTCTTTGAAGTAAATCACCCGTATTAACTCTTTCCATAAAGGCTTCCCAACAGAAACTCCCAACCTTTGGAGGTATAGGAAGACACCACACATCTTTAACAGGAAAGGACAAACCCAAAGAAGTAGGTTGTGTTAGGGCTTTAAAGAAAGAGGCACATGTGAATGAACCCGAGGGGGTGAGTGTCCAGATTCTACTATCTGTCTTTGTTGGCTCTAGGAATACCCCTTCAAGGATGGATAACAAGGATAAAATACAATCAAACTCTGTGTCCCCGATTTATCTTCTCAAGCCCAAGTTCTAGCTAAACCCCAAATCTGAGTAAGAAGGTACAAGGAAGGAGGAAACTGGTTCATTTTTAAATGTGGAAAGAGCAAAAAGACTCGGGAATTGGTCCTTTAAAGAGGAATCCCCAATCCAAATATGTTCCCAAAAATTGATGAGATTGCCTAAGTGCAAGTCATACTTGATCCATGGAGAAAACAATGTTAAAATAGCTCGGATAGCTTTCCAAGGCGTTGCTCTTGTAGTCCTTGCCAGAATCCCATCCATTGTCTGCAACCCCATGAATACTATCCACTATCTTCACCCAAAGTTTATCCTTTTCCAATGAAAATCTCCACAACCATTTCCCTAGAAGTGCCAAATTCCTATACCTTATGTTCCCAATACCCAAGCCTCCCTCCCTCTTACTCCTACAAACCATCTCCCATCTAACCCTATGGTCCTTCTTCTCCTCTCCCGGCTCCCAGAGAAAGTCTCTCATTTGTTTTTCTAGTCCGCCAGCCACCCTAACTGGAATCTTAAACACTGATAAAAAATAGACAGGAAGGTTAGCTAATGTAGACCTGATTAAAGTGATTCTCCCACCAAGAGACAAATAATTCTTCTTCCAAGTTGCTAGTCTCTTCTCAAACCTCTCCACAACCAGAACCCAAAACTCATATTTCTGAGGGTTATCTCCCAATGGCAAACCGAGGTAGTTTAAAAGCCAATTAGATACTACGCACTCCAAAATGTTTGCACACTCAGATGTCTCCCCCTCCCCCATATTGACTCTGACTATACAACTCTTCTCAAAATTCACCTTAAGGTTTGACATTTGCTCAAAGAGCTTTATAGTGAGCTTCAGGTTTCTAATCTATTAAGATTCCCTCCTTCACAAAAGAGTATTGTGTCATCTACAAACTACAAATGTGTGAGTGGCACATTCTCCCTTCCAACTCTTCAACCTCTTATTAAGTCCCTAGAATCTGCTTTAGAAATTAGTCTCCCTAAAACTTTTGCAACCATCGTAAATAAAAAAGGGGAAAGGGGATCTCCTTGTTTTATCCCTCTCAAAGCTTGAAAGAAATCTACCACTGTCCCATTTACCAATATGGAATAATGGCATTTACTGATGCAGCCCATCACCCACTTACACCAACTGTCTCCGAACCCAAAGTTGACCATCACCTCCATCAGGAAAGACCAATCCACCATGTTGTAAGCCTTTTCTAGATCCAATTTGCATACCACCCCTTTTTTCTTGGATCTCTTGAACTCCTCCAAACTCTCATTTGCTATAAGTATCTGATCCGTTATCTGCCTCCCCTTCACAAAAGCTCCTTGGTTGTCTGCTATGATTGTTGGGAGCACTTTCCTAATTCTAATGGACAGCACCTTAGTGATGACCTTATAGAGGATGTTAACTAGGCTGATCGGCCTATAATCCCTCAGGTGATTTGTGTTCCTTTTCTTGGGAACCAAGGCAATGAATGTGGAATTCAGCCCCAGGTTAATCACACCTCTAGAATGAAATTCCTCAAACACTAGCCTTAGGTCCTCTTTTAGAATCTCCCAACAATCCTGGTAGAAAGCCATTGTAAAACCATCAGAGCCTAGTGCATTTGATCTATCCAAAGAAACACTGCTTCCTTTA